ACTAAAAACTTCTACATTAATCTATTGCAATTCAAGTCAAATATACAAAATATAATTTTTTCGATCATTTTGCATAATATATTACATGAGATTATGTGAAAATATGTTTTGCATATGTGAAAAAAATTAATATAAATTATAATTATTAGTTATTTAAAATTCTACATGAAAAACCTTAAAATCAAGTAACATAAACTTGTATAAATAGCATATAGTTTTATAGATAATAAATTAAATTTATAATTTAAACAGTAATAATGAAGATTTTAATATTATGTTTTTATTTTGTTATTAGAGATTTTTTATTCTTTAATTTATTTTCTTAATATTATTAGGAAATTTTTTTAAATTTACAATTTTGATATATACGAATAAAATTTAACTTTTAAATGCTGATGTGGATGCCTTGAAAATAATATAGCTTTAACTGTTATTCATAATAGAATTGTTTTGTTTTGTATTAATATAGCTTTAACTGTTATTCATAATAGAATTGTTTCTATATTGTTTTGTATTAATAATATAATTTTATAATTTAGAATTTTTTAAATTTTAGTTATTGATGTATATTAATAAAATTGACATTTTAAATCTTATGTGGATTTCCTTAGAGGCATATAACTTCGATTTTTATTTTTCTATAAATATATTTTTTTGTTAACCATAATTTTAAATTTTTATAATTTTTCTAGTTTTAAATATTGATGTGGACCAATAAAATTGAACTTTTATATCATATGTGGACATTTTTAGAGGCTGTTAAAACATCATCAGATGCCATGTTATTTCAAAAATCTTCCTCGGATACCTCAATCTTCGGCTTAATGACAGAACTTCTTTCTCTATTTTCAGTACTTCGTTTTTCAAAAGTGTCATGACTTTGGTCTCACTTCCTTGTTTTGAGGCTTACTGAATGTATTTGGATGTTGCTTGGTCACTAATTGTTACCTTTGTGGTTAATATTAGGTTGATAATTAAAACCGTATCAGATGCCATGTTATTTCAATAATCTTCCTCAAATACCTCAATCTCCTTCGTCTTAATGACGAAACCTCTTTCTCTATTTTCAGTGCTTTGTTTTTTAAAAATTGTCGAGTATCAATCACTTGACATGTTTCTCGGACTGCTTGAAATTTATCATTTTTCTCAAATTCGGTGGCCAAGCTTTGGAGATTTTTGGGTCTTTTTCCGATATTAAAGCAGCTTGTAATGACTTTGTTTATATGTCGTTTCATTATATTCTTTGTAATTTAGCTAAGAGTTAAATTTATAGTTTAGCCAAGTTGGTTTTTTTACTGTAATGACTCCTTTTTTTGTCAAACCTAACTCTATTTTTTTTTTTTTTTTGAAATGGTTGCACACACAGAAAAAAAACTTAAAAATTATTATAGTTATGTGACAAAAATTTGGATACTAATATAAGAGTCTCTAAATATGTGTGTATACATCTAATTTAAATTTAAAATTTTATATTTTAATACTATTATTTTAGTTTTTTATTATTAACAAAAAATTTTATATATAACTTCTTTATCTTTAATAATTTTGAAAAATAATAATGGAATTTGAAAAAAAAATTAATTTTCAATGTTAAGGTGGACCAATACAAAATTTATATATAATTTTTTTATTTGGCAATAATTAGAATTTGTAAACTTTCTTAATTTCCTTATTCAGCAATAATATAAGCATTTGTAAAGTTTTCTGATTTTGAATATTGATGTGGACCAATAAAATTACCTTTTAAAATCTTATATGGACACCATCTAAAGAATTTATTTCTCTATTTTGAGTGATTTGTTTTTCAAAAGTATCATGATATTAGTCTCTCCTCTTTGTTTTGAGGCTTACCAAATGTTTTCAGATGCTGTTTGGTCAGTTAATTGTTACCTTTATGGTTAAAGTTATGTTGTTAAAACCCCATCAAATGTCATGTTATTTCAAAAATCTTCCTTGGATACCTCAGTCTCCTTCGTCTTAATGACATAACCTCTTTCTCTATTTTTAGTGCTTCGTTTTTCAAAAGTGTCGAGTATCAATCACTTGACATATTTCTCGGATTGTTTAGAATTTATCATTTTTCTCAAATTTGGTGGTCAAGCTTTGGAGATTTTATGGTTTCTTATTTTAATATTATTTATTTTGGGGTTTTTATTATTAATAAAAATTTTATGTATTATTTCTTTATCTTTAATAATTTTTAAAAACAATAATAGAATTTGGAAACTTTTTAATTTTCAATGTCGAGGTGGACCAATCAAAAATTTATACAAAATTTTTTTATTTAGCAATCATATTAAAATTTATAAACTTTCTTAATTTCCTTATTAAGCAATAATATTAAAAATTTGTAAATTTTTCTTATTTTTAAATGCTGATGTGGACCAGTAAAATTACTCTTTTAAATCCTATGTGGACACCCTTAGAAGCATATAGCTTCAACTTTTATTAGTATAAGAAGATAAGATAAGATAAGATGCTTAATTTCGTACTCAATCAAACTGTTTTTAAAATTAGATAAAACCAAAATTTAAGAAAAAAAAAAACCCAAAAACGTTTTTATAAAAAAAAAATTAGAAATTTACCATTTCTAATGTTTTTGAAATAAACAAAAAAATCTATAAAAATACAAAAATATTTTTTATAAAAAAAACTAGAAATTTACCATTTCTAATGTTTTCGAAATAAACAAAAAAATCTAACTAAAATATTAACTAAAATCTAACAAAATTTATGCTAGAATATCGCTAATTATTATAGTGTTTACGATTTCTTATGTTTATAGGATTTTTGATTTCTTATGGTTTAGTATAAATATCAGCCACTAACAAAACGTTTTTTTTTTAAAAACCACAAAAAGTTTAAAAAAAAAACAAATATGGAACTATATCTCTTAGTGATTCTTATTTTTTTATATTTCTAAATTTTACAAAACAAAATCTAACAAAAATGTTAAAAGAAACAAAAATGGAATCTATTTAAAAATTAATGAAATGTCGTATGAAAATAAAAAAAAATTTTAAAAAAAATCTAACAAAAAAGTTTAAAAAAAGTTTATATGCTTTTCTATGGTTTAGTATAAATATCAGCCACTAACAAAACGTTTTTTCTTTTAAAAAAAAACCACAAAAAATTTGAAAAAAAAAAACAAATATGGAACTATATCTCCTAGTGATTATTATTTTTATATTTCTAAATTTTACAAAAAAAAAATCTAACAAAAATGTTAAAAGAAACAAAGATGGAATCTATTTAAAAATTAATGAAATATCGTATGAAAAAAAACAAAAAAATTTAAACAAAAAATATAACAAAAAAGTTTTAAAAAAGTTTATATGGTTTTCTATTTTTTTATAATTTAGTATAAATATCAACGACTTTTCTCTAATTTTCTCACAACTTTCAAAATTGTCTAACATCTTCCTTCTTCTTGATTCTAACTAAAAAATCATGGAATCATCAGTTAAACATATACTAATGTTTTTATAAATAAGTATTCAATAAGAAATAACTTAAATCATATTGCTCTAAATTATTATAGTTTAATACTTCATTTTATTGTTAATACCGTTTTTTAATTTAATAAAACTAATATTTAGTCGAAATTGATGAAAAAGTAAAAATCAATCAATGGAATGTCTAACGAAATGATGATATTTGTGATGTCTAAAATACATAAAAACAGTTATCAAAATCGAATAAGTTCGTACAGTATTTAAAAAACTATGTCTAAAATACATAAAACAATGATCGAAAGATCTCAATACTATTTAAACTAAATTATTTAGATACTAATATGTTTTATTTACTCTCTTTTATATTGTTTTCATGATTATGTTTTCAAATATTAACATGCATAATAATCTAACAAACAAATATATTCAACAATAGAGAATAAAAAAACAAATGAATTTAAACTACTATTAGATTTTTAAACAATCCACGTGTCACATAATGTCATTAAGCCTTGCATACACGGACCCAATATCGTTTTAACTTTTTTAACCTCAGACAGATTTAGCAGAAACGACGTCGTATTTAACATTTCCATGTATTTCCTAATCATGTTATGATATATTTCCATATTTCCTAACCATGTTAGGATATATTTCCTATATCCTAATCATGTTATGACTATGAAGAAACCGACTCAAAACCCTATAAATATAGTTGCCTAGGTTCACAACTTCGTATCATTCATCATTAAGTAATTTAATTCCTAGTTTTCATCAAATCTCAACAAAGAAGGAGCGATGTCGAATTCAAAGACGATTGTGTTGAAGAGCTCAGATGGCGAGACCTTTGAGGTTGAAGAAGCGGTGGCTCTCCAGTCGCAGACCGTAGCTCACATGGTTGAAGATGACTGTGTCGGTGACGGAATCCCTCTTCCCAACGTCACAAGCCATATCCTCACCAAAGTGATCGAGTATTGCAAGAAACACGTTGTCGTCGATGGTGATAATGGCTCTTCTGCGGAGCTCAAGAATTGGGATGCTGAGTTTATGAAAAATATGGATCAACCCACGCTATTTCATGTTATATTGGCTGCTAATTGTCTAAACATCAAAAGCCTTCTTGATCTTGCTTGCCAAACAGTTGCTGATTTGATCACAGGTAAAACTCCTCAAGAAATTCGCACTATGTTCAACATCGAGAACGATTTCACACCCGAGGAAGAAGCAGAGATTCTCCGAGAAAACCAATGGGCTTTTGAATGATATAATGTAGACTACTTTGAATGATTTAGCTTCTTTCTTATATTTTGACCTAATATTTGTTTTTTTTTTTTAAATTTCACGATGTGGTTAGCCTTGATTGAATTTGCAAAGGTTAATCAACAAACCTTCATTGATATTTTTCTTCTGCGTTTGATTTTTATAAAGATATGATATTCGCATATATATTTTCTTCTGCTATAAACTAGATGAGCATAGATTATATAAATCCTAATTCGTGAAAAAAAAAAAAACTAAACTCGTCCTGAAGGAAAATTTCTACACTTGAAGGAAACATTTTTTTTCCTTTTCCTTTGACTAAACTTACATAAAAGTTACAACACAAATAAGCAAAACAGAGGAAGCGAAAAACAGAGACGATGCTTGTGTTTCTCTGTTTACTTTACTCAACTTGTTGCATATCCTTCTTCTCAAAGTATCTCTTTCTCGTCTCCGTTTTCGCTTCTTCCCTTTTCCTCACTGTACAGTTCTTCAATCTTCTCTAACTCCACTTTTAACCTCTCATCTTCTTCCTGAAAGCTTCCAAGTTCCTCTGCTTTTTGATCTCTTGTTGTTGCTACTACGGTCGAGTTTACCTCGTCATCGGATCGTGGGACATAATCCGAGGATAAGGAGTGACTCACGGATTCACTCTGCTTCCCTTGTGGATGCATAAGATGATCGATCGTGACATCGGTTTTCCAACTCGGTAACAAATTGACGAGTAATATATCGATCAATTCTGCTATAAACTTTACGTTTTGATGTGTTAATTCAAGCCATCTCACTCGATACCTTAGAAGCAGTGTCACCTTCTTGATAGAACAAGAAATGAATGTTCCTTACACGTCCTACACACACAGAACAAGCAACAAAAACTAAAGCAAAGTTTGGTTCACGCAAAAGAAACATAAACTATGATTACTAAGAGCTAAAAAACACTTACCACTTTCATCGACTATACGAAGAATTAGCGAGACAGAGTTTTCATCATTCTCTTCACCTTTGAGGACAAAGAAGTTGCCTCGCTTTGCCCTGCTGACCTCAATACACTGTGATCCTGAATTGTTGCTTGAAGTACACGTAACAATAGGTAGGTTATTGTCCTCGTCAAGATCCATCGACATTGGTCTATTCCGAGAGTTTGGAGGTCCTTCAGACATAAGACAACGGTCTCCAAACGAGCCTTCTTCAGGCATTACAATGTCAGGAAGCAGCAACGGGATGTTCATAGCTAAACCGTTCACTTGGAGAAAAGAATCCATTAGAAACTCCTTAGCTGATAACCTTTCAGAAGCTGGTAATACACATTTTTCTATAAATTTCATTACTTCCGGATCTTTAACCTTAGAGAGTGAAGCCGGTTTTATACCCTAAAAATAAAAAGACTCACCATAGTAAGTAAAGTTTTGTTCAATATAATGTAGAGGAAACTATGTGAAAATGTCTACGAAACTTACCGATGAAACTTTCTTGTAGATCTGAGCAGAGTTTCTACATTCACAATAAGGATATTCAAAAGTCACCATCTCCAACATACACTTCCCAAAAGAATATATATCAGCAAGCTCGTTGTAGTTCTCATCGTAAATCTCAGGCGCCATAAACTCAGGAGTTCCTGTTGGTTATAACAATTTTGTTTCTTGAATATCCAAAAGGAAGGAAATAAGTTAATTTGTGTAAAAGAGAATCATACCAATGACACTATTGGCATTAGCTTTCTCCATGACGGTAGCTAAACCAAGATCTCCTATTTTCACTTCTCCATGATTACCATTACTAAAACTGTTATCGCATTTGATATCTCTATGTATAATCGGCGGTTCTTGACTGTGAAGATATATCAACCCCGTTAAAATCTGTCTCGCCCAACACTTCACTGCCTTCATATACACCGTTCTATGTTTCTTACGGTACCTTCAACAAAAACCAACAAAAAGAAAACAATTCTGTGATTATATTTTGGAAATGTCATCACAAAATAGCAAAAGAGTGATTAATTAATATATACTGTCTGAGACTTCCTGAAGTGAACATTTCGGTGATTATGTTAATGGTTTTGTTCTTGTCATCGATCCACGAGTTGTAAAACTTTATAATGTTATTGTGCTTCAAAGATTTCAAAAGCCGCACTTCTGAATGTAGCCTCTCTAGACAATCTGGTGATTGCAAAAGATCATCGATTCTTACTTGATTCCATGCAACTTCAATACCATCTACTTCGTCGAATCCCATATAGCTGATTATTTGTTAAAAAGAGTTAAAGGAAATGGTGAGTTTAAGATTCTCTCATAGCAACCAAACACATTAGGGAAAAAAAAAAAACAGAGATTATGTAAACGGCAGAAAAAGGGATACACTGTCTTGAATGCTCCTTTTCCTATTACTTCTCTGTACTGAAAGGTTACAAGTTTGGAATGATCAAAGAAAAAAATTTAAGAAAGAATAAGTTTTGGTCGAAACCTAATGTTTTGTAACATCTTTACAAATAATTGAAATAATTATGCAAGATATTAACATGAGTCAATACCCGGATATATCGACAAGTTGGGTCGATTTCAAGAACTTCTGGGTCAGGAGGCTCTACAATTGCAGAAGCATCCTCTGAAATTTCCATGTCTTATATTAATCTTGATTAGTAATTCTTCAACTTCAAAGTTCTATAACAAAAAGGCAAAGCGCTTACCCTTAGATTCCTATTTGAAGACAAAGACTTGTAAACCATATAAAAAAACTTAAATAAGCTATGATACAATCCTATATCCAATATATCCAATCTCTGACAAACCCCCCCCCCCCCCAACCCAACAAACGATCAATTAGCTTAATCAAATAATTATTTACCCATTGTTAAATCTCACAAGAGACCAAAATCTAGCCAAATCAAATTGCGTCAACGAACATGTATCAAGTAACTGAAAGACGCAATAACCAATTATGCATATAGTTAGGAAAAATGGAGAATTTTGTCGAAAAATTAGATCCATTAGCTTCGAATTTACCTGAATTTACCTGGAGATACAGGAAAACGATGGAGAGAAAATGAAACCCTAATTTAAAGAAAAAAAAATTAATTGTAGCTTATCACATCAATTGATAAATATCATAAACTTAGGATAACTATTAAATACGTTATCAATTTTGGAGTTGTTGATGTATTTTACAGATGTCATCTAATCATTGGAGTATATCAACCAATTGCTGATATGAAAATATATAGAATGGATATTTTTTCTGATAATATTTCAAATGGATATAGTTATTAGAGTTTTAATTTAATGACTCACGATTTGCTTGCTTTGAAATCCTTTTTGGTGGCTTTTAAGTTTTGTTTACCTGATCGGTATATCAGTAGACAAATATTCACTTTTTTATAAAAGAGACTAACAAAAAGTTGTTGACAAAAATAATAAAAGAAAAAATTAAAGAAAATTGATTTTTTATTATATGACTAGGTGAATACCCACATAACGTGCAGATTTTTTCTTTTCAGTTTTTTAAAATATTTTTTTATATTTTTATAAAATTAATATAATCAAACTTATTACTTATTTACTTGTTAATATTTTATTTTATTTTTTAAATATTAATTTAAAATACATATTAAATATTATTTAATAATTTAAAGTTATATTAAAATTAATAATATCATTTAATATTTTTAATTAGTTATAACATAAATTTTTGTTTAACATTTACATAAATATTAATTAACAGTCAGTTAATAAAAAAATTAAAATTAATATAATCATCATTTCATTTGTTACTTGTTAGTATTTTATTATAAATAATTTTAAAAAATTAATTTTAAATACATCTTGAATATTATTAAGTAATATACAGTTATAAAAAAAATAAATACATATCTATCAATATTTTTAATTAGTTATAATATAAATTTGTGTTTAACATTAATAGAAATGTTAGTTAATTGTCAATTAATAAAAAAAACTTTTTCTTTTCTTTAATGCCTTAAATTTTAATATTAAAATTGATTAATTAAAATTTAAGTGACAAGTGTCAACCTCTTCATTGCTGATATGTCAAACATATGGAGAAAGATGAACAAAAACAAATTCTACCAATAGATTAAAAATAAAAGAAGATAGATAATTATTAATAGATAAAAATATGAAAATAAATAGATTGAATGGGAAGATATTATACTGAAACTGATTAGGAAAAATAAGCAGTGGTAAAGTATCCGAAATTAAATGGATTAAAAAAAAGATGGGATAATAAAAAGACGCAATAACCAATTATGCATATAGTTACGAAAAATAGAGAATTGTGTCGAAAAATTAGATCCATTAGCTTCGAATTTACCTGGAGATACAGGAAAACAATGGAGGGAAAATGAAACTCTAATTTAAAGAGAAAAAAAAAACAATTGTAGCTTATCAAATCAATTGATAAATATCATAAACTTAGGATAATTATCAAATACGCTGTCAATTTGAGAGTTATTGATGTATTTTACAGATGTCATCTAATCATTGGAGTATATCAACCAATTGCTGATATGAAAATATATATAATGGATATTTTTTCTGATAATATTTCAAATGGATATAGTTATTAGAGTTTTAATTTAATAACTCACGATTTGCTTGCTTTGAAATCCCTTTTGGTGGCTTTTAAGTTTTGTTTACCTGATCGGTATCTCAATAGACAAATATTCACTTTTTCATAAAAGAGACTAACACAAAGTTGTTGACAAAAATAACAAAAGAAAAAATTAAAGAAAATTGATCTTTTTATTATATGACTAGGTGAATACCCGGTGGAAAAAAAAAGACTAGGTGAATACCCACACATAACGTGCAGATTTTTTTTTCAGTTTTTTAATTTTTTTTTATATTTTAATAAAATTAATATAATCAAACTTATTACTTACTTACTTGTTAATATTTTATTCTATTTTTTAAAAATTAATTAAAAATACATATTAAATATTATTTAATAATTTCAAGTTATATTAAAATTAATGATATCATTTAATATTTTTAATTAGTTATAACATAAATTCTTGTTTAACATTTACATAAATATTAATTAATAGTCAATTAAAATTAATATAATCATCATTTCATTTATTATTTGTTAGTATTTTATTATAAATAATTTTAAAAAATTAATTTTAAATACATCTTGAATATTATTAAGTAATATACAGTTATATAAAAATTAAATACATATCTATCAATATTTTTAATTAGTTATAATATAAATTTGTGTTTAACGTTAATAGAAATGTTAGTTAATTGTCAATTAATAAAACAAAATTTTTATATTCTTTAAATGCCTTAAATTTTAATATTAAAAATTATTAATTAAATTTAAGTGATAAGTGTCAACCTCTTCAATGTTGATGTGTCAAACATATGGAGAAAGTTGAAGAAAAAAAAATTCTACCAATAAATTAAAAAAAAATAGATAATTATTAATAGATAAAAATATGAAAATAAATAGATTGAATAGGAGGATATTATACCGAAACTGATTAGGAAAAATAAGCAGTGGTAATAAATACCCGAAATTAAAATAATTAAAAAAGATGAGATAATTGTTAATAGATGAAAATATGAAAATAGATAGATTGAATAGGAGGTTATGACCGAAACTGATTAGAAAAAATAAGCAGCGGTAGAAAATACTCGAAATTGAAAAGATTAAAAAATAAACTCGTATATATTACAGACAAAGTTGCAATCTTTTTTTTTTGGATTAACATCATTTTGGAACCAAATAATGCATTTTCACAAGGAAGATCTTGAGCAATATTAAAATGACAGGAAAAACACTTGCCTCTTTAAACTGAATGATATTAGAGTGAATTACAGTAAAAACACTTTGTCCACTTTCTTTAACAAAAAAACACTTTTTGCTATTGGGGCACATTCTCTACTTTTTTGGAGGTTGAAATTCCATACTTACCCTTTGTTAAATTCAAGCTTCTTCTTCCTTGTTTCATCTCTTATTCTTTTATTTTGCTCTTCTCATTTTTACACGAGCCCACTTTATTTCCCAGAAAAATATATTTATCACCAACTCTATCATTTTTAGAAATATAATTGTCACAATAATCTGAGTGTCGAAATTGACAATTCATTGTAAATCGGTGAAAATGTGGAAGGAGAAGTTGAGGATAGCCAAATATCAAATTTATATCTGCCGAGACAGGTTTTCTTCGAAGACTTATGTTGTATAGTCTAATATAAGGTTTGATGTTTCTGTGGATAAACTAAGTTTATACACAATTTGGCATGGACATCGTATCTTACAAATGATCAATGTTGGAGATAGAGTATTTCGAGAGTAGTTAACGTGGACAAAGTCTTGTGGACATAATATTTTAGAAAACATATCATAAATTAGTTAGCATTGACAATGTATTGTGGACTAGGTGTTGTGGACAAGGCATTGGAAAAATGAACAATGTTTTGTCTTGTTAGGTAATGTGGACAAGGTATGAAAAAGTGGACAATGTATTATGGACTATGTTGTGTGGACAATGTATTATCTCTACTATAATCATTGATAAACTATATGTACACTAGTTAGTAGGAACAAATCTTGGACAAAGTAATGAGTATCATCTTTGGTTGTTATTTAACAATCTATTTCTATGTATTATTTTTCTTATGAATATAGTTTTTGAATTGATTAATTAAGTCTTTCGTGGACAATGAAAGGTGGACGACAGCTTTTGTGAACATAGAGCATGGACTACTCAGAATAAATCGACAAAGCAAAGTGAACATTGAAAGGTGGACCCTCATCTCTATGTAATATTGTTCCTATGAATGTAGTTTTTGACCTGATTAATTAAGTCCTTTGTGGACAATGAAAGATGGACAGCTTGGGTGAACATATATCGTGGATTACTCATAATAAATAGACAAAGTAAAGTGAACATGAAAGGTGGACCTTCACCAGTTCAAGAAGAAGAAGAAGTTATGAGAGGAAATACAGAAGAAATATATAGGAAAGGGTAAAAGAGAAGATGCCATGAAGAATCAGATTCTAATAGAATGAAAAATAGATTTTGGGAAGATTGTAGAAAAATGGAAAATGAAGATGCTGAGAAATCGGTTGATTGTGTCTTTAACTTAGAAAGAGAAGCAAAGAGAAAAGAGAAAAAGATTCACGAAGGAGATTATAAGTTTTTATATATTGAAATTAAATTTAAATTTTATTCCAGACTTTCTCCATATGCTTATAAGTGAATTTCAATTTCCAACTAGTGTAAATTTTTTAGAATAAATAGATTAAAAGTAAAAAGAGGATAGATAATTATTTATAGATAAAAATATGAAATTGAATAGATTGAATAAAAGGATATTATACCGAAACTGATTAGAAAAAATAAGCAGTGGTAAAAAAATATCCGAAATTAAAAGAATTAAAGAAAGATGGGATAATTCTTAATAGATGAAAATATGAAAAAAAATAGATTGAATAGGAGGATATGACCGAAACTGATTAGGAAAAATAAGCAGCAATAGAAAATACTGGAAATTAAAAGGATTAAAAAAAATAAACATGTATATATTACAGACAAAGTTGCAATTTTTTTTTTTGGATTAACATTAATTTACACTAGTTGAATACCCGCACGTAACGTGTAGGTTTTTCTTTTCAATTTTTTCAAAACTTTTTTTATATTTTTATAAAAATTAATATAATCATCATTTGTTACTTACTTACTTGTTAATATTTTAATTTAAAAAAATTTAAAATATTAATTTAAAATATATATTGAATATTATTTAATAATTTAGTTATATTAAAATTAATAAATATCTTTCAATATTTTTAATTAATTATAACATTAATTTTTTTAATATTTACAGAAATATTAATTAATAGTTAATTAATTTAAAACCTAATATTAATATAATCATCATTTCATTTGCTACTTGTTAATATTTTATTGTAATTAATCTTAAAAAATTAATTTAAAATACATATTGAATATTATTAAATAATCTACAGTTATATAAAAATTAAATACATACCTATCAATATTTTAAATTAGTTATAACATAAATTTTTATTTAATATTAATATAAATGAT